TTTATCACAACCCGGGATTTTATTCGCTCTGAGCAAATTATCATCACCCTCAAATTATCAATTCCTCTTCATCCATCTTCCCCTTATCATCAGCTCTTCTTGTCACTTGTTGAATACCATTAAATCCTTGATCATCAACCCTTGGTCTCCTAATTTGAAAGTGGCTGTTATTTAGAAAATATCGGACTAAACTTATCCTGGTTCAAAATGCAACTTGCACAGCTAGATTTATAGCATTTGTTAACGCTTCTCAAATTATTATAGTAAGATGTGTCTTTCTTATATTTGTGGGACACGTTATCGCTGTGTGCGTTATCGTATGCCTGCGTGTCTCCTCGCCAGGATTGGGAGGTGCGGCCGTACAACTCTGTGTGCAGCGACCGTACAAACAGTGACCTATCATTAATCTCTGTTTAACCTAATCCCCCATCCTGATCATGAGTAGCTCCCTGCGTGTACACTTGGTCCGCAATATACATCCTGAATAAACGTGCTCCGTGCTACACGTTTGTTTCTCTTATAGCTGGGCTATAGCTTAGCTGGTTCTGGGTGTCTAGCTAGATGTTGGGGAATCTGCCATAGAGATTTCTGAGTCAGTCAGGCTTTACTAAAGTAGCAATCCGCTACATATTTAATAATGGGTTAATATTAATCAAATGCTATGCCTTTAGTACGAAAAATAACGTGGAAATTAATTCCTGATTTTTCAATAAAAATTTGTTACCATTGCTTCAGCAGCTACTTGCAATTCTGGTAGTGTGAGTAGGGAAAACAGCGCGCCATTTACGTAGGAAAGAATGTTTGTGTTTTCGTGGTTTATTAAATCTGTCAAAACTTTGAGCACTCGACTGGCCATTGGGGCACATCGTTTCTTACCTGAAATTAATGAAATTATTTATATCAATATAAGAGATATTGAGCAATAACATATTCCATTCATTGTGTTTTACATATAACCTCGACTTATTAGGTAATGAAATGAATAAACTAAATAATGATTTTGACTGTATGGGTCAAATTATGTTTATATCCACCAACGAAGCAACTGATGTACTTACCGTCCATACGAAGGCAGAGATTCATGAGCAGTGCAACAGAATATTCAAGGGTGTAGTCAGAGAGACTGTCTGTGTCTTCAAGTAAATTAACTAGCCATTCCACCATGCCCATTTCTGTCATCTTCGTCTGCATTGAACGTCTGTAGGGTATAAAGTAATTAAATAAATGACAAACTGTCTTCCTGAAGATGAGAATTATCGTTAGGATATGCAAAACGATTTCATTTAATATAATCCCCTTCCCAAAATGAGTTCACATAGGCGCTATTATAGTAGTCGCTATATCTCTTTGTCTTCCATTCTCTTCTCTCAACAAACATCTCGCACAATAGTGACGCAGTTGTAAGCATTCTTGTCTGCCAAATCAATAATCACGAAAGTGACAATCATCGCTACATTTTTCGTCATGTGGAAGACCAATGACCGTTATTTTATACAATTATTTAGTAATTTGCATAAAAAGTAAGATTTAAGACGACTCCATTAAGGAACAGACGCAAAACAAAAGAATAGGACCAAAAGCTCAGAATAGTCGATTGGCACTCAAATTCAGTGCTCCAGGCAACTAATTAAATCTGCTTCGATGTTATAATTCCCCTGTATTAAACAAATTAAATTTTGGAACTTAGCCCTCTAGTTTTGGAGTGAGTTCACTTGAACGATGTTCAGAATCTATTAACAGGTACGGTTAACCAGAGCAGTAGTCGACACCACACTTACTCAAAAGGGGATCTGTCATTAAGCATTTCATTATGCTTAGGGTGTAATGAGCATAGGAAGAGGAATAATTATGTGCTCCAAAATGTCGAAACCATGGCTGTAATCGTGGTTGCTTGGCAACGCTGACTAAAGTATCGCTATAATCCGTTGTGTTTGTACTGGAAAGTCAAATTTTATTAACACTTTGCGTAGAGAATTCCTAAGAGAACAATAACCGCTTAATTTTCTTAAAGTTCGATGCTCAGAATAATGCAATGACACATTTAAATCAATTTAACCTCATTTAATTGTTTTGAGAATGACCTTTATTGACGAGAATGGTTTCAAATACCCTATTTTTCCTAGGAACATAATTTGAATCTTTTATAATTGCACTTTAAATTAGGACTTAGTTACTTGAAGGTGTATTTTTTCATATAAATGAAAGAAAAACTAATATTTCATTTTCAAACATCGGCTCAAATTTATTCAAATAAACTCATTTTCACCGAAACAAATTACTTATGGTATGAAAGGAATCGGCATATATTTGACTAAAATGTTTATAAAAAGGGACATTTACAAGGTGGCGACGTAAGGAAAAAGAACTTGACTGTTTTCTAAACAAAGTTGTATCTTGGTAGGCATGGCAACAGCGACTCAGTGAAGCAAAGTGAGGGGGATATCGATTACAATAACGTCTTCTAATTGTTAAACTGCAGGTCAAATTGTAGGAAAAATAAGTCCAAAACTTAATCGCCCAATAAATGGGTGGATTTTTTATTAATGGAAGTTTTTGTGGGTTTGAATTACTATAACTTCAGATACTTCAGATACATTCCCCCACCCCCCTCCCCCCTCCCCCCTCCTTTTCGCAATCTAAGTTGTCTTAGCCTCATAAAGTGAAAATCCTATTATAATAAAAATATTCAAAGGGAAGAAATTTAAGTACATATAAATTTAAATTAAGCTGACAGGCAAACTGTTTGCTTTTTGCAATTTTTATGCTTAAGAGAAAAAGTACTGAAAAAAAACATATTTAAACAGAATTTATACCTTTTCGTATTACTACGTGAGCCACTACTATATCCGGATAATTTAATCTATACTAGCCAAATTCACCTGAGACTAAGTTTTTGAAGAGCGCCAATTAAGTTCTCTCTAGTTGACGTTTCTTCATCACCTTCCAAATGGAAGATTTGTTGAGTTAGCAAAGTGACCACTGCCGTATTCTGTGCAAGATAGGCTCGTCCACGAGAAAGGGAAGCTAGAGCATTTACCAATCGAGCACTTGCTTCGGTTACTTTTGGTGATACTTCACAAAGACAGTGCTCGAGCATGCTCAAATGGTGCCGTTGTCGATTGTCTTCATTCCATGGCGTCAAATCAAGAAGATCGTGGCCTATGAACTCGGTGAGATAGGCCTCGCGTAGTTCGACATTTGTTTTGGTTAGACGCTGGAATAAAAAGCATTATCAGTTTCAGTAGGATAGGTGAGATTTAATGAAGCCTGGGTAGAAATTCGTCCAGATACGCACCCAACGTAAAGCCTGCAAAAGGCGCCAGATTTGTGTCTGATTCGAACCATTTAGTGCTTCCTTTATCTTTTTATAATCCAATTCGGCGATGCCCCAATCTTGTTTTAATCTATAGAAAAAAAAATTATCTTGAAGAATCTTGTAGTTCATACTCTATTAGAATTATTCTGGACACACGGGAAATTAAGGTTAAGTCATTACAACGGCTCTTGCATGAACGCACATATTTTCACATAAAAAGGTTAAATCCTTTAATTGAAATATTAAAATCCCAGTCAATATTACTTATTTTCGTTGTAAGATTTAATAATAAGCTGCATTAACTTTAGCCTTTTCATGCTCAGTTGAGTTTATTAGAAACAGCATCTGGGGCAATTCGGGGTAGTAAAACCGAGATTGCTTCCCATCACCAAAATAAAAATAGACTAAATACTTCCTTTGAATTGTTTCCTTTGGAATGAAATTGTTTGAGTTCAGAATCGAATCAGGACTATATGCTAAACATCATGGGTTTTATTGCAATGCATATAACACTTTTAAGATGTTAATGAAAAATGTACATACCCTGGATTTTCTTGGGGTATGCGAATAGAAAGAGACTGACGAAGGGAGTCACAGTAGTCAAATTTAGATGATGCATTAAAGGTACCATTCTCTGCGTTGCCTAGAGCAGCATTTTTATTTATTGTAGGACGTTGGGAAGCAACTAGACGGCAGCATATTTTCTGGAGTGCGTCGGGTTCGATATGTTCTCCACGGAGAACTCCTTCTAATGTATCGACAAGATCCGAGGTAATACAAATGAGACTCTGATAGTCCTCTTGGATCTTGTTGAAACGCTGGCGAAATTGAAATGCACGTCTTTCAGCGTCAGCAAGGCGGTTCTATACAAATTTATAAATCATTTTAAATTATTTGAATTTAACAATATAATACAAGCCCTTATATTCACATTAAGGACATAACTTATAAAAAACAAATTGATGGTATAAAATGAGATTATAATCAAAATATTAAAGTTAACCAAAAATTATTTTCGCTTCTGATTCAATATTATTTTTTAGATCTTAAGCGATTGTCAGATTTAAAAATCACATGTAAATAAAAATTCTTAATAAATAAGCCTGTTAAAAATAAAGTTGAATAACATAATGCATTTACTGACCTGCAGTTGTTTTTCATGATTATTTGAAACTTCCTCTTGAGAGTTTAAAAGTGAAAATAGTTTAGGAAATGGATATATTTCCTCTTCTTTAGGACCAAGAAGAGTAAGCAACTTTTTCTTCAAATCTAATTTCCAATTTGGATCAAATAGTTGCATATAAACAGGGTGAGATTTCGGTTGTTCGACATATGGAAATGCGTAAAAAGGTAGGAATTCAGATATTTGACTGAGAGCCTTGCCCTTTGTATCGAGGAATTCCCGAAATTGGTCAATTCGCTCTTTACGGATGTTCTGTAACTCGTTTAATTAATAAAAAGTGTTTACTTCAGAATCAGAATCCCAGTTCACCGTAATAAAATACAGTTGCAAGTAAAATTCGAGAGGAAGCTCCTTCATATTATCGCTGAAATCAAAGTGATCATGCCAAATTGTATGAAAATCTTTGCTCTCTCCATCTTCAAAATATTTGACCAAATCGGTCTGAAAAAAATGAAAATTATCAATTCACCCACTTTCCATTCCTCACTGAAACCAAGCCTTTCTTTAGTGGTTTTATTCCACTCGGACGAAAGATTCTCTTTCGTTTGTTCCATGTGATAATATTCAAGAAACTGGAGTAAATTAAGGTAAAATATTACTTCATTTATAAGTTCATGAATTTTAGCTAATTTTTCTATGTCTTGGGTATCATTCATTGTCAATTATTACATGTGCTTGAAAAGTAATTTGGTGACTGAAATGTGCGCTGATTTTTGAGAGGGACATTTAAGGCGTCTGTAGTGACCATGACCGTCAATATAAATATATCTTGAAGATTCTTTGTCATATACAAAATAAAGGTAAATGTACACTATATTTTATGTGTATAAAATTTTTATTTACATTTTGGGCGTTTATATTTTTACTTTATATCAAGAGGGTCGTGGAAATAGTATAATATTTTATCTAAGTTATGATTTGATCTAGATCTGAAGAATTACCTTTCATTTGTTAAAAGTTACATTTCATTAATCTTATCACTCTCTTGATTAATAGGAAAGGTAGGGATAAATAGTTTGGTCACATATATTATCTTTTACTAAACGATGCTAAAAATGTACACTTGGAAAGTCAACAGAAAAACCGTAATGCTAAACTATTGCTAATGAGGGACGCACTGATATCAAAAAGCTTAATCTTCTAGAACATTGTAAATCGCTCGAAATGTCATTGCTTTTGAAGTGGTTTTGGACTTTGGTCAGAATTAAGGGTATAACGTCTAAAATGTATTTTTCTGCTTACTATATCACTGCTCTTGATTTGATTCAATATATTATCAAATAAATCGTTTCTCTGCAACTATATATGTATATATTGGCGTTCATCTTTACCCACGAAAATTTATTATATCTTAAGGTTTTAATGAAGTAATAGTTTCTAGCTTTTGTTCGTATATCATATGTGGTTCGATGATCATGCTTTAATTCGCAATTGTACTGTGACATAATTTGCAAAGCTTTGGCTGTATGAGATAGCAATATTAATAACAAGTTTCATCATGCAACTATACAAACATTTGAGCGTGTTTGATGTCATAAAATGAAATTTTAGGTTTTGTTAGCCACATTCCAGTTATTCCAATTTCACCAATGACGCCACACTTCACATCAATGTGAGTGTGGTCTTCAAAGCATGATTAATAAAAGGTGAAAACAAGTTTAAAGTAATTCTAAGAACCCTAACTCTATGACGTGCAGTTCTTAATTATTCTAATTCCCAAGGCCGGCAACGGTATCCAAACCAAAAAATGATAGTTTTTATTTAAAATAAATATATAAGATTAAAAGCAAAATTATTATCTGTATCATGAATGAGAATAATTTATTTAAAAACTTAAATAAATAAAGTTTGATACATGTTTGTTTAATTTGCTCGATTGCTCACAGTTCTGCTCGAGGCGCGAAGACTGCTTTGAAAAATTTGGGTTTTGACTGTCGGTTTTCCATCCAGTCGGTAATATAAACGAAATTTTTCGATTTAATATATAAGAATAACGTTACCTGTTAGAATGACGGATGACATAATTACTTCTACACCGCTTCGTATCATGAAGCCGCCTAATAAAGGTGCCGATAAAACAATTACTGGAACCGAAATAAAAGCAATTGGGAAAGCTAGACAAGATTTTAAAGCCGAATTCTCTGTCGCCCAAAGAACCCGGGCTCTATTTAATATAATTTCCCGTCCACCTCTACTTTGTGCGCCTAGTTTCGGTATCAAGCTTCCATTTGAGTCAAACGACAAACTTAAAACCTCTGGACTCGAAAAAGCTTCAAAGGAACTAAGAGATCTTGCTCTCGCGGATCCCTGTTTACTGTCAGTGGACGGTTTACTAGATGTCGTGTTCATTGCAAGGAATGCTATTGAATACATCTACGATGAATATGAAACTCGGCAAATTAAGTGTGGTAGTGAAACCCTTGATTCCACACTTAATGTGTTGGACTTCTTTCTCAACCGAAGTAAGTTTGGTTCTAAAATAATATATGTTTGAATCCGTTATTTTCCCATTAATTTGAATTATGTTATAGTTGATCCGGTCGTTCGTAAACTAAGTACTCTTCGAATGTCACTTAACGATTTTGAGCTTGGTCAAGTCATCGGTCGTGGTGCTTGCGGTGTCGTTAGAGTTGTCCAAGAAAAAACTCCTCCACACTCAGTATTTGCTATGAAATCGCAATATAAGGGCTCCTGGCTCTATCATGACCCGGTATGTCGCACTCTTCACTCCAATTTGCTTATCTTCTTGTCTTTTTTTACACTGTTGTGTGTTCCAGGAGGGATCTCAGCTCCTCTTGGAAAGAACCGTTTTGGCCCAAGCTACCATAATCGATAATCCTTGGTTACCACATCTCTATTACGCCTTTCAAGACGATCAACAGTTACATTTAGTCATGGACTATGAACCCGGAGGTGATATGTACATCTTTCTTACCAAGTGAGTTTCGAGTCAATTACTGATTTTTTATTATTGGGATGTTTATGTTTAATCGATTTTTTCCCCAGAGCCGCTCATTTACTAGACTCTGAGATGATCCAATTTTACGGGGCTGAAATTGTTGAGGCGGTGCATTCTCTACACCAAATGGGTTATATTCACTGGCAAGTTTATTTATCACTTTATATCTAACTTTTAAACTCTTATTTAACTACTCTCCCTTTTATTTTAGTGATATAAAACCTGAGAATTTCGCAATTGAACGAAGTGGTCATCTAAAGTTGATAGACTTCGGTTCTGCCATTCGACTTGATTCAAATGGAGAGGTTGGTCTATTTTATACCAGTTTTTTTCATTATGTTTATGGCTGCTTATCTATTTAAATCATTTTATTGGAATTTTGAACTGAAGTGACAGTGCTAAGAACTATGTATCTCGAAAATAAATGGCTGGGTTTAGCAAAGATTGTGTCTTATATGTTTTTTTTAGTATTCATTCTTTAATCAAACTATTCATATGTAGTTTCTTAATTGCACATTTTATAATCCGATTATCATGCATCTAGAAGTAGGAGGAAACTTTATTCTGGTATATTCGCTGACGGGTGATTAAAATAATTTATTTCTGCTACTCTACTTTATTTTTCCCGTTCTACTTAAAGCCTATGTTTCGCTAAGCTATAGTTTGGTTTCCTTACAGTGTATCTGCCCAACAATGGTTGGAACTAAGGAGTATCTGAGTATCGAACTCATGAACCAACGCAAGAGGGGTTCAAAAGACCCTCTTCGTGTTGGTCCGGGTTACGACTACTGGGCTATCGGTGTCTTCCTTTATGAACTCTTCTATAATCAGACGCCATTCTTCGATGACGATGACGATAAAATGATGAAGAATATTATAAACTATAAGACCACACTCCGTTTCCCGAGCAATGTTGATGTCCCAGAAACAGCCAAGGATCTCATTCGAAAACTCATCTGTGACCCCTCAGAACGACTGACTTATGAGGGAATTGTTGCTCATCCCTTTTTTCAGGATGTTGACTTTGCGACCATAAGAGAACGTAAGTCTTCACACAATTCTTAATCTTTGTATTTTCGTAACTTTAAAATTTCTAGGATTTAACTTGTAATAGCCAGGCCCTGGTTAGTTATGATGTGGAGATTTATGGCCTGCCACTCATTCTAGATTTGTGGGATTCTGAAAGCATATTCTCTAATTATTCCAGAATTTTTGTCTTCCATTGCTAATTGGTAAACTTTCAACTAGATCGCTTATTTTTTGTCTAAATTACTTCCTTTCAGTGAGTTTGGCAACAGTACTTGTGCCTAAAGGTCGGAAAGTGGTTTTGAAGTGCATCCAGTTTTTCGTAAGACCTCAAGCTAATCTCAGGATAAATTTAATGTACCTGGAAGAAATTAAGATGAAATGGCCACTCATAACTTTATTGCATAAAATGAGTCCAAATTCCATTAACAGGTACTTCAATCCAATCAAAAATAAGAGTCATTTAAGGTGCTTAGATTTGTCTTAAAAATACTTTTACAACTGACCGTTATATACCAGTCAGATGTATTCAAAAGAGCAATTGTATATTTATGATAACAATCGATTCATCTCCACTCAGAACGTCATTGATCAGCGTTCGTGCATCATGACATGCGGGCCCTCACCTATCAGAGAAACTTCGATACTTTCTCGAGTGTTTGAAACGACCTATATTTTTTTCTAATGTTTGTTATAGTAATGATCTTGGTGTCCTGATGGTAGATCCGTGCTGTCATCTTCCTATTAACAACTATATCCCCTATCTCTTGATTTAACATTTATTTGTATCTACCGCTCTATTGCCAGTGCACTCAGCCTCCTTGGCCTTTTGAACCCGGACTTTCCTTTTTTCAACTTAATTGCTTATTTCAAAAGATTGGGTCAATCGATTGTTTTGATCTTAATTTCTTGAGTTCAACGAATTATGCTGTCAAACGGAAATGTTTTTCCCTTTTCCGCGATTAAGGAGTAGTAAGATTCTTTATTTGTCACGGGGAAAAGATTGTGGTTTCCTACGTTTATTGTAAACAAAGTAATGATATATCGTTGACTCTTCACACTCGAAAAACCCTTATTGATCTGATTGGCACTTGTACGATTTATTATTCTAATCACTGCATTGACACATTTTCAATTTACGGCCTTTTAACTGCATAGATCTGCGTAATGCATGAAATGAAATTTGCTTTTTTCCATTTTAAGATTTACTTACTGGGTTCGCTTCGATTATGGTAGGAGGACGGGTATATTACTGTTGTTGGTAGTTGAAGATATTTTGCTTTTCTCAATTCTCCCTCCAGATTACTTGTACTGAAACTTTGCCACATATTAGAGAATATGTCCTCATGAATTTTGATCGACACTTTTTTGCGATCCTTTCAGTTGGGCAATCGATTTATGACTTCTTTCAATTTGAATCACTTCCGTATATTATCGATTGTAGACACTCCGCCATATCTCCCGCCAGTCGGTAAAATCGACGATGTTGGCAATTTCTCGGGTGGCGGTGCTCGAGTTCGGGATGAAGCTCTCCATGATATTACCAATGATGTTACTCTCTCACCCTCTCGTGCTGCTGCTCACAATCAGTCCAACGGTACGCCATCAAAAGTGCGCCGTCTCTCAAATCTCGAGAATCTCGATCCGTCTGAAACGGTTGAACAAACCCAACCTCAGCACAAACCACTGTCATCTAAAGAGAAACAGCTGAGGGCAATTGCTGAAGCCGCCGCTGTAGAAATTGTTGAGGAGGTGCAAGAGGTTGAGGACATTGCTTGGCAGGGACCGGCCTATGCTGCCGATCTTCCTTTCATCGGTTTCTCTTTCACACCCACTATGCTTCTGGGTGATCCTCAGTCAAGACAAAAGCAACTTAAGGCTTTGTAAGTTGAGGTTATCATATTGTGTATTTGTTATGGTTTCCCCTTTATTATAATTATCATGAAAGCGTGTTTAATCTATTCTGCGAATGAAATTGTTTCTTGCTATTTCATACTGTTAAAATGTCTGTTACAAAACCATTAGCAAGTGATCACGACGCATTCTCCTCAATGGTTGATTATCGATGGGCTTTGATCTCGTGACCTCTAGTTTGGTTGACGTACACTTTTACCACCTCCACTCTTCAATGGTCATAATGAATTCAATGATGTTATTCTCTAACCCTCCTACGCAGTTCGGATCAGTGCATTTAATTTTCCCTTGTTATTGATTAAATTTATGTTAATGAGCGTTCATTGTTGACTTGAATTGCATTAATTGACATGCTTACGAATTGGTGTCCGGGTTGATGTTTGTTTCTAGCTTATCCCCATTTAAATTAGTTTTTCTCTTGCTGATACAATTATTGGCGCCCTCTAACCAGTGCAGTTGCTACATCAATTAAGGACAATATACTTCAAGTTTCCTTTATTGTTGTTATTGACTGAGAATACAAATTCTGTGCTCAAAAATAGTCAATTACTATTTACATATTTACTTTCGTGTTCATATTTAATGAGTAAGTATTGGTATTAGTAACATCTGAATTAATCGGCGTGATTAACCATTTAAGTTCTCAAATGTCTTATCTGTTTTGGTGATGATGCACTTCTGAATTTCCGCTGGCTTATAGAGTCTAGGTTGCGTTCATTCTCTAAATTGGTTTTAGAAATTAAATTCAATTAGAACTGGATTGCTATTGCAACAAACTGGTGTTTTGAGCAATAACGTTGCAAGCATAACTCTCTGAGGCCCATTAGAATGAAGTAGAGGTATGTTTAAGATAATTTATACTCAACAAAAAACTAAAGTGGCAAGAATTCTAACCTCTTTCAAATTGAATATATTTTCATTCGTTTTATTTGAACTAATTGTTAAGAGTTGTTGAACCCATGTGGTTCTTTTCAGATGTTGGAAATGTGAATGTTCCTTCCCTGGGTTAATTTTTTTTCTCTATTTCTTATCGGCTTCTTGCTTAAAAAACGAGTAATCTTGAAGTTCCCAGTTGAAAAAACGCCTTCAGTATATCATATTCTAATTATTTTTTTGTTATGTTTCTCTTCCGAAATTCAGTAGTTGGCTTATGTGGTCTGAATATTCAAAATATTTTCCGTTGGTTGTGGTGCTTCGCGTCTAATTCCGGATTTTTTGGTCTCATTTTGTTTTAGAATCGACAACAACACTACAGTAATTCAGTCTCGTTTGAGTATCCTTGAAAACTCCGACATTGGCGAGGAGGCTAATGCAAAGATTATGGAGGTTAAACGACGCAATCGGTACTTGGAAAAGCATATTACAATGCAGGAAGAAGAGATTCGGGTGATTATCTTCTTCTTCTCCTTTCTGATGTATTTGAATCTCTTCATATGCTTAATGCTTTCTTTTCTATAGAATCTCCGGGCTAAGCTCCAAAGCTCTGTGTACAAAACGGAGGTTATAAATAACTTGGATAAGGCCTTAACCAGTGATCTGCATCAACAGGCCGAAACGACGTATGTCTATTTGGACGCTTATGATTTCAATCCTTATTTGCCGTAATTTTTTTATAAACTACTCGCTCTTATTTTAGTAAAACCGAAATAACTAACCTCGAGGCACGTGTCAATTCGTTGACTCTGGAGAAGGCAAAGCTTATGGAGGAGCTGAATGATATTCGCAAGTGTCTGCTTGATTTTAATAAGATCAAGGAGTTCATGGTATATGATCATTTAAGCTTCCCTCCACCTACTAGTTGGAATTTTTATCAGCTCACATTTTTACTCTTCCGTAGACTGTAATGGATAAGAAGTCGTACGATGAGGCACAAGCTTTCCAGACTGCTCTGGTTCAAGCTAATGAGAACAACCGCATTCTTACAGAAGAAGTAAGTAACTGTTTCGTCTTTTTTACGTTGTGGAGATGAAATGTTGTATCAATAAGCCTAAGGTTTCGCTATTCGCGACAGCAAAGCCACTTTAATTGTCCCGTCGAGTTAGTTTTAGAGACAGCACCTTACAAAGTCGATGGTTTTGTTAGTGGCTGTCACAGGCTTAAGGAATGATCGCTTGCTCCACTCTCCCACCTCCATTTCTGTAGAACTCTTAGCTTCTATTAACAGAGATTTGCAGCTTTGGAAGCAACAAAAATTCCACTCACTAGAGATTCTTGTATCTTTATTAAATTACTTAATATATGCTGCCTTGTATTATAGTTCACGCAAGTGCGACAACAATTGGATCGGCTCCGAAATGCCAACACCAAATTAGTAGCTGAGCGAGACGCCGCCATCGCGCGGGCCGCCAAAGCAGAAGAAACAGCTGCCGCACAGGCAGATGAAGCTGAGGCAGCGCGCTCAGCAATGAACCAAGAGGTTATCCGCCTCACAACCACTACAGAACAGCAGGGTAAACTCATTAACCATCTTCTCTCCCTCCTTCCTGCACCCGAACGCAAGCATCTTGTCAGTGTCGGCAGTGATGTCGACGCACTTGCCGAAGCCCTTGAGACTGTTGCTGTGGAATCAAACGCCCAACGAGCTCCGCGTCACGCTATTCGTGCTGGCGGTTTTGTCCGCTCGAGGAATGGCTTCTGGGGAGGTAGGAGTAAAGCCTCTTCTACTGCCGCTACTACTGGCCACTTTGCCCTCTTCCCTAAGAATAAGAGCATGGTGAAGTCGAAAAAGAACACACTCAAATCTTCCCTAGTCTTGGGTAATGGTAATGAGGATGTGAAGAGAAATGCAGCTTTCAAATCAATGATTGGTTTGGGAGCATCATCAAAACCCCAACAGCGACGAAGTATGAATGTAGTGGATGACCTTACGAGTAATACCAGTAATGAACAACAGCACCAGCTCGGGTCTTCTGCATCCAAACTTCAGCAACCAGCTCAACTTCAGCGAGTTCATAAACGCCGAATGGTTGCTTGGATGAGAAACCTCTCAACACTTCGTTCGAGACACTTTCATGGCAATAAAGAGGATAATTCCTCCAGGAGGAAATCTCGCCATCGAGCGTCTGCGGATTTGACTGGTTTTAGTGAGGATGAGGGCGAATATGACTTGGCTGGTGGTGTTTACATGGGAGATAATGCATCACTGGACTTCCCCAATCAGGAGGGTGAATTTGGAGCTGTGTCGGACGTGGATTATATGCGAGCATCTATGTCGACTGCTTCGTCGGGTCGTTCGCCTAGTGTTCAAAGCTATCCAGAGATTGCCACTCGAACGGCCATTTGGTCCCAGCACTTACAAGCTTCCAATAGTAATGCAGTAGCTGTACGTTTGTTTGCTTCACTGTTTATTTTGCTCTTGTAAAAATATACTGATTATGTGTTTTTATTATCTTAAAATTATATCTATCTATCGAGCAATCAACTGTGTTGCTTAAAATTTTCCGACTTAGTTTTACTCGCAGTCACAGCTCAAATACCCGACGAGGTGGATTGGGTTTTGTTTTAGCTGCCTACAATTAGGAGTGGCAGTCGATTTTGATCTTGAAATATCATTTGATTTCATTGTTGTCGTTAGATTTCGTCTACTACATTTTCCTCCTATAGGCAATGATGTTTATTTTTTGCTACAATTCGAACGAAGTCAAAAACATTATTCTGATACGAATATCTCGGTGGAAATGAGATTTCCTAAATCGTAGATTTCAGTTGTGATTGTCCAACCTCGCTTTATAACTTTATTTAACTTGGCTATGACTATATCGACATCTAGTAGCGCTTAAGATCTCTAGGTGGGGTGTTTCATACCCTTCTAATGTCAAAACTGTCTTTGTTGAAGTTTGGCCCTTGAGTTTTGTAAATATTATCAGTTGAACTATTCTTTTTGGTGCATGCTCTGTGATTACCTGTTAATCTTTATTCCAAGTTTTTTAAATCTACTGTGTACATCTTGTTTTAATACGATTGTGCCTAGTTAACGATGATTTTTTTGCTCTCTTAGTCTTCGACCCAGAAGACGAAGGATGGCAAGGAGGTAAGAAACTCTGCCTTTTATAAATGAATAATTTTTTGAGTTGATTTGAAATAAAGATGCATTTTCTCCTTACCTTTTAGTCGCACACCAAGCTGTTTAAGCAGTTCAGTCGAGTTCTTGGCAAGGGTGGTAAATCAAGGGGACCTACGGGGAGCGAACAATCATAAATGGAGGCAAATCTTTGGCGATACTACTCAATTGTAAAAAATAACATCCCAACCGACAGTCTATTGATCTGTTTTGCAGTCTCTCCTTTCCCCTTCTCCCAACTTGTTTTTATAGTATTTTTGATTATTTGTATACCTCATTGCTGTTCTTTTCTTAATGCATTGCCCCCACCTCTTTCTCTATGACCTTTTGTTGAAACGTCTATTCCTCCTCTCCTCCCTTTTGTCATCTTTTTTCGTTCTCCCTCGACCATTCGACTCTACTGACCTTTCTCTTTGTGAACTCATGTTTAGACACTTGCCCACTCAGTATTGGCGTATGAGGTGGTGTATTATGAATACTGCATAAATGGACCTTTTACTTACTGGTTTATTTTCGCTTTGTTTTTCGGTGTGTGTTGATTTTTGACATTGCAGTTGTAGTGTTTTTTTGTAAATTTTCTTTGTGGGATAAGGATGAATATTAAATCTTTCAAATTGGGGAGCTTGCATTCAACTACTGAATAATTGCGTTCGAAATTAAGATGATACTTTTTTCTTATTGACATCGTTATTTGGTATGACCAGTTTAATGAAGTTGCATACAAGTCAAGTTATTGGTCTTTTTCCAGCGGGTGTCAAACTAGCATCTCTTGATTCAGTAAACTATCACGCGATTGCTATCGTTCAAGTGGATGGGCCATTGCCTTGAACTGTTCTAAGTCAGATTAGCTAGAAACAACAGCTGTGCAGCTTATATAAATGGCTTTAATTCAGGGTGAGTGATTCGTTTTTTCAATTATTGACATTCGGAATCTGGAATATTTCCCCCCAAAACGGTGTTTTGCTTTCCCGAGTGAATAAATCAATAATTTCATAATTTATTTCCAATTATGCTAATTCAAATTGTACTAACAGCCAGTCTTAGCGTATATCCACTGAATAGTCGGCAATGTTTGGTCTTAATAAAATTGCCTCAGTCATTTTTCCTTCTTTTGATTTATGGAATACGTGACTCAAAGAGAGAATTTAATTGCAACTTCTTATCGGTGATGAATCGACCCCCCCCCCCCTCCCCCACCGATGTTTCACGTATAACTATTCCAATTTCCACATCAAAATTAACTAGTACAAAATTGGTGCACTTATTGAACAATCTCAAGAGATCATTTTACTTTCTCTATCACCTACATTATGCCCTCCTACTCACCCCNCCCCCCCCCCCCCCCCCCTCCTTCCCTCCACTGAACCAGCACCATTGTTGGTCTGCCTATTCAGTTGGGGTCTACAATCGTTAGTCGATTCTTATCTAACAAATATCACAATCATCTTTATGGTTGCTCCAGAGAGAGAGAGAGAGAATCATCTAACGCCTTATAACCACAGTTTAAAGTTGTATTTCAGATGCGTCGATACATCAGAATTTAAGCCTGGTTCGCAACAGTGAAGTTAATTCAATTTAACTAATTGTGATCGACAAGTCTACATGCTCTGATAGAATCAATATGGTAGGTCGTAAGTCTACTGAGTTGGAATAAAATCGAAATGTCTTCATGAAGGAGATACCTTCCACATTATTAGGCAGATAATTACATATAAACTAGTAGAAATTTAAGGATTTACTAATCTTACAAATTTCGCTTGTTAGTATTCAGCCAAGTGAGAATTTAATCCATTCTCTTCAGCTGCATCATAATTGTAGTCAATAATTGTTTCCTGTTTCGTTCCATTGCAATGCTATCTTGGAGAAGGCGTAGGGTCTTTCATGAAACTCCTGCTTACTAAGCGTTGATAGATCACCACACCTGTGACAACCAATGGCCCACGAAGTCTGCCAATACTTTTTAAATTGCTTGATGTCAATGTAAAATTCAATAAGTAGACTCGGTAACCGCAGAGAAAATTTGTGGCTAACGAGTGAGCGATTGCAATAATTGTCATTTAACCAGGTTCTATTCATTTAAATAGACAAACAGATTTCCACACTGATTTGAAGCGAGCATGAAGCAGGAAATATTACTTATATTCAACGCTGAACAATCCATCGATGAGCGGTTTTAATAGTTTTCAGTCGGTCAAACGGATGAAATCTTGACTGCCACCTTTGCCTATCAATTCCCGTCGAACTAGTTGCAAAATATGTCCGGGCTCTTCTTCCGTGTTCGTGTCTGAGAGTGCATTCGCCCCAACACTACACCACTGTATAAGTTCTGTATAAATTGGAACCCTTATTTGTTCTCAACTTTTCTCCTTCATTCTCTCATTATTGGGCTGAGTTGCCCTGTATGTCACTGGCCGACCAAGATTACATAATCGGCTAGGTACCGCCATATTGGTTAAGGCAAGCGTTTCAGATCACACTCGTTATATGCATGCTTATGAAATTCAAGTTCCTAGTGTTTAGCCTTCTGATAATCTTCTCATGAAACACATCAAAGCATGATTAACAATGTCATTCTCGCCTAAATGTGACCCATACAAAGTTGGTTTGGGATCCTATGCGTAGGTCCTAATACGTAGCAAGATACTGCCCAAACATCGTTCTCGTTCTCTGCCCGTTGCCTGAGTCAACTGCCAGTTAATAGACTTTTTTGCCATATGAGTAAACGTTGCCCAGGGTGCACCACGTGGAGGTAAGTCTATCGCACACCCCCCCCCCCATTGCAAATATCGGGTTAATTAATTACGTGCGTGGTTGGATAAGCTTCCACCGACTAAGTAATGGCAAATCTGAGTCGGTGTGACCTTAGAATTTGTGGTGTCACTATTTATGATCTCGGGCTTTTAACGTAATAGTGCTATCACGTGAAAGTGGGCGGCGAGGTGAGGGCTTAGTCATTCCCGTGACTAAGCCTTTCTAACGTGGTTCTCGGCTTGCAACCATTCAAAAGCGTATATTTTGATATAGGAAACGGTCATATGTAGGTTTTATATATTTATGACCAATGGGAAGGCCGGATTTTAACAGAAGTTATTAATTTAGTATACTAAAGAGATCTCCATTTGATTTTGGAACTAAAATTTATTATTTAACTTAATAACCATTGATCTGGGCTGTATTTAAAATGTTTGTTACATCTTGTTGTTAAAGTACAGCATTTGAGTTCTTGTGCGCAATCTAGTAATGGTTTAGGTAAATGTTGTTTTAAATCCTTTCAGTGGTCACCAGTGCACACTCAGTCACTTAAATGACCATTCGCGCTGGCTAAGTCTAATCGATGGAATTGGATGTAGAATGGGAATATCTCATATGGACGGCTCAACGATTCTTCTGCCCAAGTACTGCGTTATTAGGATCTTCTACAATGGGTTTGAGTTGTTTTATTTAAGTAATGGCAAGTTCTTGATTCCAGATAAACTCTGTCAAACGCATTGGAACTCCTTAGAGAGCACTGTTTAGGAAAAGGGAAATGCCAATGCTAACAGCAATATTCAATTTTCAAGTTATGGCGAAGTCAAATTTAACTTATCCGAAATTCTCATACAGATAGTTGTTAGGAGTGAAATAGGATCATTCATTGCTGGATCCAGCAGATACTTTTGCTATTCAGGGTGGAAATAACTAAGCAGTACTCTGCTTAATGCAAGATTGAAGGACAAAACTATAGTGTTCTCTCCCCCAAACCATATCTATTAATCTCGATCCAAGTGATATAAATAGTATTATTCTTTTTTGTTGAGAAGGAAATGTGCGTAGAAATGGCCAGTCGATTGGGTGGCTTTCACAATAGATTAGAACTTCATTTGAACAGATAGGCACATAAATTTATTTGATCAACATAGTGCAGTTAAGCTAGTTGCGAGCAGAAATGAGTCCATAAGATACCGCCCAAACATAGGGCACTGAGATACACATATGTTGGGGGTGGGGGGGGGGGGGGGGGGGGGGAACGAAACTGATTAGAAGTGTGGCATTATGTCTCAATGACTCATTCTTTCTTTAGGACGATGCGTAGTCTCAGTGTCTGACGTCGTATTGGATACAGAGAATAGCCATTATGACCATGCAAGATCATCATGCAATTTGGCTCATGGAATAAGTAATCAAATTGAAGAGGCAAATTAGATCGCCCTAATGACTATGCTAAACAATTGGCACCAGTTATCGTGAGGTAGAATTCGGCCACCAAATTCAAGGGTCCAATTGTAAAATTTGAATTTCGAAACATGAACGACCTATTAGATAAATACTACTCACCCTCAATGCGAGAATCGTATGAAGTGAGAATTTTCTTACTATTCTTACTTAATTTTCAACGCCTTTCGATACCTTCCTTTCTACTCCTAGTTGAACTCTGTTGCTATTCGAGTGCGATTACTTTGCCACAATGGAAAATCATATCATCTTGTTATAAATATTATTATTAACAACAATAATTGTGTGATTTTTCATGGGAAAAATACGTTAAAAATATGTCTGAAAACTTATTTGTGTGGAAAATGATCTTAAATTACCTTTTGAAATAGATAAGCAGCAATATGGATCGATAGCATTACTGTACCCTTATTGACGCATTATCCTTTTATTTGTCTTGATTTTGTTTGGGTGTTCAGTTGTTTCATACCTTCCTCCGATTCATTGGTTTAATTTTGGCAAATTTATTTCATTTTCCAGCTGACTCACATAACAGTTGAATTTGTGTAGTTTGAAAATAGAATTCGCCGATTTCAGAACCTGCGCCTGAAAGATCATGTACAAAAAATGAGAACTGAACTGAATGAAATTTTCTAACTGAAAGTATGATTCCGAAAATACGCAAAACCACCTTTATGACTGGGGGAATAAAAAAACGCCCCTCCCCTCCCTCCCAAGACATTGTTTCCACACCATGGTTGGTTCAGCGAAATGTGCGTTTATATTTTATGTTGCCATGTGAACCTCAACACGGTAATCTTTGTCTAGCTACCTTATGAGTCATACTTTCGGAAGTGGTTTTATCATACATCTGGTCAACACAAATGCTTTTGAAATCATAGAATCCATATATAATGCGGCCATCTCGTGAAAAGACGGTTCATTTAAAGCATTTTCTACACCAGTGAAATACGCCGTATGATTAAAGGATAGCTCCCTTTTAAGTTACTTAGAAGTTAAAAAAAGATAAAAAACAAGTCACTGAAGTATTCTGAAGTTTTGAATTAACTCTTCGAGTACAAAAATAATAAGGAATTAGCAAAAAAAACTTGTCCAACTGTGCTTTAAACAATGCCAACTAAAAACAGTAATGCAAAAATACAGCTGGACACTTATTCGAATTTTGAATGGAGATATCCTTCCCTTTTCATTTTTAATTGAAATTGATAAGTAAAAATGTTGCATGGATTAAACAAGTAGCTATTTTCCATCATCAGTATCAGCACGAGAATTCCATTTCCATTTAGCGATACGAGGGAGCGAATGTGTGAGAGATAAGACAATTGAATAGAGAACAGTAAGGAATTTTATTGAAACTCCGGGAATGAAATTTCAGACAGAATGGGACTATGCTGGCATTGATTGGTATTAATTCACATTGCTGATATATTATAAAATGAAGCGGGAGAAGAAACCACTTAAATGAAAATGATAGAGGCAACGGCGTTTATTGTAAAAGCAAATGGAAATTAAAAATCGATTATAAGTATTATATACACGGAAATGAACAGAGCTTAGTGGTTGTCTAAAACACTATCTGAATAGTGATTGTCTTAGTCAACTGTAATGAATTCATAATATACAATTTGATTACAATTAAGAAGAAAATGTGATCTTAGTGATTGACTTGACCTGATGAGTCAAACGGAAAGGAAATGACTACTATCTCCACAATCATAAATTGAAATGTGCGCAAATTTGGAGGCAAGTAGAGGTGAGACTATAAGATAAGAAAAACCTAAACATACGGCGGAATCCTGCTTTAGCAGCATAAGAGGATGCCTGAATTGTATATTCGCAATGAGCACATTTTCTTTCTTAAAATAAAGTTTGATTTCGCATGTTTAAAAACACACAGACAAAATAACAAAAGCTCGGATCTGATTTGTATTCTTCATTTACAACTGAGTGAAGCGGAAAATAAGAAAAGAAACAATCCCACAGCAGACTTCAACCTCTCAATCTATTTGGGACACTTAAAACAGTGTGGAGACGATAACCTTATTTATTATATTAGTGTTGTGTTTAATTATATGAGAATCCAATCTATTGGCTTGTGGAAAGCTCTATTGTGGACTAAATAATGTATTAATTAAAATAAATCTCGAAATTCTCTTCTTGGCTTGTGAGAAACAATATTAAGCTAAATGATAATAATTCATTTTACAAAACTATTGTGCAAAACCTTTTATTTTTGAAACTCTTCATATTAGTCTTGCAAAACCTCAATAATCGTTTCTGTCGAAATTAACAATATAAATTGTTCCAAAAATCACCTTGACAACCTTAACAGTATCGAGGATACTAAGCATTCGGACAAACTACCTATACAGTTAGTCATTAAATAGAATCAGTTATTCAGCGATTGCTGATTATCTGACAGGTATTCCACGCATTTGACTGTAAGTTGCAGAAAGTTCTATTGCAAATAAATAATTTTGATAGACTTTGGGAGAGTTATACACTCCGCATATTGATAGAGTAGATAGAGGCATAGATTTTGAATTTTGGTAAATGAAGGAAATTGGGCGTGTTAGGCCAAAGGATTTGGAATTTCTGGCTGTTTGACGTTCATCAAGGTTTGAACAATGTGTAGAGACTGATAAAGGGTAAAAAACCCAATTTTCAATTACTTTTTATGTCTTTAAATGTAATTTTACATAACTTGGTAATAAAATACAATATTCTTAAAATAATCATAAATTACTGCCTTCCTGCCCAAAACATACTCTAGCAGTATTCGACTAATGGTGGAAGCACTGGAAGAGCAAAAAGGTTCTTAGATCAGCGTAATACCATGTGCGATCATAGTTAAACTTCGAGGCATAAGGCATTCAAAACATCAAATCCAAATATTTGTCAAACGTTACAAAAAATAAAGCATGCTATTGCATTGGAAACTCCCATCAATAAAAGTCACTAAAGTTAAGAAAATATTATGTTTATTCCATAAGTTAATTGTAAAATGAATTAGGAAATAACAAGTACTCGCAAGAAGAGGATCTAAGTAGGTCGTTTACAAATTTCACCGAAGATTAATGCAGAACTTCAGTCAGGAAGACCCAAATGTATTAATCAATTTATATTATAAGAGGTTTGGGTTATACAAACGGACTTCCTGAGACGTATTCTAAAGTAGTAATGGTTGTAGAATGAGTGTGTAATTATTAGATTTATGCAAATATATGATGTCAGCTCACAAAAACGAGGATAGGCCGCTTACTGAGGCCTTGCTTCTCGATAAAATTGAAGGGTATATAGTATGGTACATTTTCAAAAATAGCAAAACTAATATCTCTTGAGGCAAGCGAACAAAATTAGTGACACATATTTATTAAAGTATGAGTATATATATATATATATATATATCGGTGGTATTTGCCGCACATGCTAAGACACAATTATGTTTATAAATCCTTAAGATTAAAGTTACTTTATTGAAAATAAATACTTTTCTAATGAGACAAATAAGGAATCAAGCATGAATTATGAGAAAATATTTCATAAAACGTGACGCGTGAATTAACAAAATTAAAGTTAACTTTATGTCACAAATATATAGTTTTAAGTTAAAAGTATTTGTAAATAACAATCCTATCATATATTATTTGTAAAGAGATAAATTTCTTCTATCGCTTGGCTAGGTGTAAGACTGTTCAAAGGTGGCCTATCTAAAAACGGTGGAGATGGCTCTCCGTTTTAAGAAACGTAAAGGAGTTTCCAAATCTTTAACTGCTAAACAGATGGTTCTTGATTTTGGACAGAAAAATTTTGGCCCTATCAAATGCAAAGTGTGTTCAATGGTATATGTTGCTAGTGATGCCGAAGATTTAAAATCCCATCAACGTTTTCATTCTGATTTTTTAAGTAAGGAAGTTAAGGTAGGTAATTAGCCAGTTTGTTTTTTAACTTGATATTTTTTCTAAAGCTTAAATTTCGTTTATATCACTAGGTTTCCCGTGGACTAAAGTCGGAAATACACGAGGACTACTTAAATGGTGATCAAATAGTCGAAATTTCCTTATTTGATAGATCTAGCCATCAATTTTTCTCTAAATTATCATCCCTAATGAATCAAGATCTGGGATATGATCAACCTTCCAGTGCAGCGGAACAGGATTTGATTAGTCTCCCGCCTTATTGTCGAATTTTTATTTACATCAAAGGTCATAAGAAAATTGTTGCCGGTTGCTGTATCGCAGAAGACTTAACAGTCGATAGCGTAGCCGAGAGGGGTTACCAATTGCGCCGGCTAGTTGGAGGTCGTAAATCACTACTGTCTTGGCATGTTCAAAATTCTTCCGATAATCCCATATCTGCTAAATCAGTAGATACTGTTGTTACGACTTCTACCCGAAGTACTTCTAGTGTGATTTCGCTTCCTTTGTGTGGCGTTCGCCGTCTATGGGTGTCTGAAAGGCACAGACGAAAGGGATACGCAACCTCTTTAGTCGACTGTATAATTAAGCATCTCTTCTACCTCTCAGAAAAGACTCGATTGCAAGTAGCTTTTGCTGAACCAACTGCGACTGGTGCTGAATTCGCTGTCAAATACACTGGTCGTGAAGATTTTATTATATACTAATGTTCTTTCACATCTTATGCTTTTGTAAATGAACAAGTAGCTGTGCACATTTAAATGCTCCTACAATTGCCGCAGTGCTTTTAAAACATTCATTCCTTTTTGAGTTAATTTTTTTGTAAATAGCCACCTACGCTGTATTTATTCCCATATTTTGCAACTATTGTTAATATTGAAGAGATTTTTTTAAGATTTGTTTCTCTTAGTTTCGTTTACTTGCCAACTTGCATAAGGAATTGCTCGGTCTGAATTTATACCAGTCAAGAATCGTCTGACTGTCCGCTTAACTTTTACTTTAGGTGTAAAGCAAATTTTTCATCTGGAGGATAGTAACCGATAAATTTAGTATTTGAGAAACAAACGTGTTGTTGGAATTTTTATGAGTTCATAACAGAACTCTGCAAATATTAAATTCATTCACTTATAATATTTATTACTCAGAATGATAACAAAGCTTTGTTGTGGATTGAAAACGGCTTTGCTAAAAATCTGGATGGGGTTTCTTGGGATGATTGATGCCCCTCAAGTAGGATTCGATGAGTTGATCTTTATCACAAAGCTACTATTAATGTTATCATCTGGGGGTGCGCGATAGACTTACCTCCACGTGGTGCACCCTGGGCAACGTATATTCATACGGCAAAAAAGTCTATTAATGGGCAGTTGAATTCTGACTTCAAACTGCCATGACCCCACTGTATGCCATATTCGACTACTTCCACAGTACTCACCTCACCTTTTTTCTACCTTCGTCTTTGAGGCACTCTTCTGTTCCCCTCTCCCTCTCGACTTTTTTCCACTTTGATGTTTCTCCCCCTCTGTGAAGCCTGAAGTCAACTAAAGGGCTAATGATAACTATCAGAACGCCTGCCATTTATATAAATAAATAATGCTATCATCTTATATGCTAATCGGCGCAATTGCGGAAACTTTAAAAATATACCTTAAATAGTTTATTAGAACTTGAGTTCAAAAACATTATGCTGGTTATAATCATTTTCGGTTATGGCTAATGTATTATTTTAACTATCTTTGGGATGAATCTTAAATAAAAATGGGCTACCATTCA